TGTTGGAGCGCGTGCTGCCCATCGTCGAAATCGACGGGGGGACTGTCGTAGGAGTTAAGCCTTACCAAATGCTAGCAACATTGCAGGCTCTCCTGAGGCGACGTGCTTGCCATAATGTATTTGCGTCTTCACTCTGAACGCCTTCACGCGATGACCTTAAAGGCTGGACCGGAAATGCGCATTTCCGTCAAGGCCCGTACCCCAAGCGGTAGCAGTCTCTCAAAAACCCACTTAGGCGCGACACGGCAAGTGACCTTATTTCGACACGCCCAAGGAGGCCACAAGCGAACGCGCTTGACAATCAGGCATTGAGCTGCAATACGGGCTGCGAGGAAACCGTCAGTCCGCTCCCCATTGCCCAGGAGAGCACCGAAGCGGGGACAATCAGCTCGCTGGAAGTCAGCCAGCGGCAACTGCCAGCGGAGAAAGCAACTCCGGGTTTTGTACACAATAAACTCTCCTCCAGTTGGATTCCAAAGTTACGCCCTTCTTAGTGCGTTCTTTCTTGAGGATTCTAACCGGCATAATAAGACGGTGACACCAGTGAGTTCCACCGCTTTAACAGTATGATGGACTGGCCGCGCAAGGCGAGAACAGCAAGCCTTGGCGTGTTGTTGTAGTTCAGCTACGAGAAAATGGGAGGGGGAAGGGGCTAACCTTCGTGATTGGTTGGGTCCATGCTCACGTCCTCTCGGTGGGTGGCGGCAGCACCATTGTGTGCGTGTATGAACACATTAATCTCATCTGCGTCGCCAAAATGTTACAACGGTGGCCAAAAACCTGCGATTTTCCCGTCTGACTAACGCCTCGTGTGAGCCCCAAAGGAAGAACACAACAAGAGTCGGCCTCGTGTGAGCCCCGAAGGAAGAACACAACAAGAGTGTATAGAAAGCAGAAATCCCTCGTGTGAGCCCCGAAGGAAGAACACAACAAGAGTGTATAGAAAGCAGAAGCCTTGGAAAAACCTTGTACAGCATAATTTAAAGCAAGCGGAAGCGGTTGTACAAGTTGGGCCAATAAGATCATAGTCACAAGAACTTCACGCCTTCATTGGCTGGATGAGTCATGGGGGGTTGACGCGCTCGTCTACAGTTTGGCTGGGCAACTGAGCAGACACTGCAGACAATGCACTTTTGTGCGCAGGCCGCACAGCTGTGTTCGCGTCCTGTGCTGTGGCGCCGCTGCGCCATGCGTTGCGTATGTGAGCAGAGCAGATGCTTGGCGTGGGAATGTTGTTCGGGGAGCGCGTGCACTTACGCCGCCCCGTAACACTGTCTTCTTTCGAACAGCGCTACATGGGATGGTCTTGGGAATTTTAATTAG